CCCGCCATAAAATGTAGCTATTTAAAAGAGCACTAAATCGATCAAGTTCGTTGTTTCATTTTTTGAAACACTGTTTCATATAATTAATTTAAAAATAAGATTTAAATTAAGATTAAACTTTTGATCTAATTTAAGTACAATGGAGTGATAAATGCAAGAAGTAACTTTGAAAAGTTAAAATTGAATCGCATACATACTCACCGATCGCACTGAAATTGCTCCCTTTCTATATCTCGAACGTATCGAATCAATTGCGATTATCGTTAGCATTTACGCGCCATAAAAGCACCGTCATAGCACAACTCAAAATATATTTGTCACAAATGATTACACTTCACTTGAAACTATTCTAGAGTATTCATAACACACATGAAAAATATTTTTTAATTTCATGGAAAGTATACGTTAAATGGGAACACTTTTATAGATATTTGAAAATCCATAAGTCCGTCGCACTTTTTGACTAAATGAACATATTATAATATTTTTCTTTCGATAGCAAGCATACAAAGAATTAGTTAAAAACATATTTTATTCCGGTATAAGTACCGAAATAATTTAAACGAGATGTAACTTTGTCGAGTAAAATATAAACCTCTCGGGACTAGGTATTTTCTTCACTACACTAGAATTGTTCGTGTAGGCGATTCTTTTACAACTGAGGCTACTAACAAGCGATACAATAATAGAATATAATTTAGGTATAATTGTTCAATATAAACCCGAATACTATAACTCTTAATCGATCTCATATTCTTTACGTTTATATATCACGTTGTAAGAGGAAATTACGCACAACTCTCATTTGATTAACGTAGTGTCAGTACCGAAAACATCGTGCCGCTGTTGTTCAACTTCCTTTCCACGACGTGCTTTCCAAAATGCAGAAGGTCGGTGTTTCATACTGCAAATTCTACAACTGTTCTCACTTTATAAATCATTAATTTGTTCCATAATACTAAGTTCGCGTATATTTTTTCTTTCAGAAACAAAAAGAACCGATTCAGTCCGTACAAGTCTTCGGACGCAAAGTGAGTGTTAACTGCCAAAAATAAGTGAGGTTATGTTTGCGCGTGTTCATTCATATACACGTTTATATTTACAGAAAAGTGCTACCGCGGTCGCATACTGCAAGCGAGGCCGTGGAAATCTTCGAGTAAATGGACGTCCATTGGAACTGGTAGAGCCCCGTGTATTGCAGTATAAATTACAAGAACCCATCCTATTACTTGGCAAAGTAAGTATTCGGTACAGCGATTGTATTGTGAAATTTCAAAAGTTTATTCTTACATTGCTGCCAATGACAGATAAATATTTTTTCAGTTTTTTAATGTTAATCTATGATGTTTTCTTATCCCGAACATGATTGTTTATGATTATAAAAGTGAAATTACTGATAAAATATATCTTTCACTCTGTATGTTAAAGTTTTGTGTGTCAGAATTAATGAATTTGTCGCATTTTTCTGTAGGAGAAATTTTCCGGAGTTGACATCAGGGTAAGGGTAAATGGTGGTGGTCATGTTGCACAGATTTATGCTATCCGCCAAGCTATTTCCAAGGCTCTTGTTGCCTACTATCAGAAGTGTAAATATTGACAAAATATTCAAGGTTAGAAGCTTATGAACAATTTTAACATGTAAAATATCTCATTGCAGATGTTGATGAAGCAAGTAAAAAGGAAGTAAAAGATATTCTCATTCAGTATGATCGTACACTTCTGGTTGCCGACCCGAGGCGGTGCGAACCAAAGAAATTTGGTGGTCCAGGTGCCCGAGCACGATACCAGAAATCTTACCGTTAACATCCGCAAATTTCACATTACACTTTATTCGTATTATTGAATAAAAAATTCTAAAACAGTTTACTGAGATTTTCATGTGCTTTCCCTCAGCTTCATTGGTACAAGATATTTTTATTAAGACTCTGTCTTTTGTTTTTTATAGATAAGTAATAGTTGTAAAATGTTAAAATATTGATTAAATTTTATTTTTATTTAAAAGTTTATTTACGTAGTGTATGCGTGTAGCTTTCAAATTAAATTGCTTTATTTGGGTTTAATATCTATAGATAAATCGTAAGAGTATTTATATGCACGTATATCTATTCAATATGTCAGTTGCGCTGTGCGGCAAGCACGCAACGTGATAGTTGCGTATGACCTCAAAAGATAAGTTTTCACTTTTTAATAATTTAAATACAAAAGAGTAATATATGTACAAACATGAAGACCCGGTTCAATTCTTACGATATTACTTGCTCTATAACTGAGCTGCAAAAGTAAGTAGATAATAAAATTTATGGCAATCTAATCTTTCTTCCGTGGAGGTTAGAGTTTACATATAATAGATTTCGTATAAATTTGTTAAACTAATTTTTAAATGGACTAATTATTTCTTCTATATTTACGACGACTTAATTTTAATGCTTAGGCTCATTGGTATGCGTGTAAATCAAATCTATGACATTGATCATCGAACATATTTAATACGTCTTCAACGAAGTGAAGAAAAATGTGTTCTTCTATTAGAATCTGGCAATAGGTTTCATACAACCGCATTTGAATGGCCAAAAAATGTAGCACCTTCAGGATTTTCAATGAAGGTATATTATAAGATAAGAATATTCTGTTGAGAAAACTATTTATTTATCATATGTCATTTTTGTAGATGCGTAAACATTTGAAAAATAAAAGGCTTGAAAGCCTAACTCAAATAGGTGTAGATAGAATAGTTGATTTACAATTTGGAAGTGGTGAAGCAGCATACCATATAATTTTAGAACTGTATGATCGTGGTAACATAGTTTTAACAGATCATGAAATGATTATTTTAAATATTTTGAGGCCTCACACAGAAGGAGATAAAATTAGGTAAGCTATAATTTAATTGAACATTGTGTATGTAATGTAATTATAAGAATTTAAAAAAGTATATGATGATTAGATTTGCTGTTAAAGAGAAATACCCTATGGACCGTGCACATACAAATACAATGCCACCAATAGAAGAAATTCAAGAACGTCTAAAGAATGCAAAAGCAGGAGAAAATTTGAAAAAAATATTGAATCCACTTCTAGAGTTTGGTTCTGCTGTAATTGATCATGTTTTATTAAAACATGGTTTTACACTTGGATGTAAAATTGGCAAAGATTTTAATGTTGCAGAACATATGTCAAAGTTACTTCTAGCATTAGAATGTGCAGATCAAATGATGGACTTTGCCCATAAAAATGTGTCCAAAGGATACATTATACAGAAAAAAGAAATAAAGCCAACTACAGATGGCAAAGAAGACTTTATATATACCAATGTTGAATTTCATCCTTTTTTATTTGAGCAATATAAGGACTGTCCATACAAAGAATTTGAATATTTTGATGTTGCAGTTGATGAATATTTTTCTACAATGGAAGGACAGAAACTGGATTTGAAAGCTTTGCAACAAGAACGCGAGGCTCTTAAAAAATTAGAAAATGTGAAAAAAGATCATGATCAGAGGCTAATATCACTAGAAAAAACACAAGAGTTAGATAAACAGAAAGCAGAATTGATTTCCAGAAACCAAGTTTTGGTGGACAATGCTATATTAGCCATACAAAGTGCTCTTGCAAATCAAATGGCTTGGCCTGATATCAAAGTTCTATTAAAAGAAGCAGAGAGCAGGGGTGATCCTGTTGCAACTGCAGTTAAACAACTAAAGTTGGAAACAAATCATATTTCTTTATTGTTACATGATCCTTATGAAGATAGTGATGAAGAATCAGAATTGAAACCTATGTTAATTGATATAGATTTAGCACATACAGCCTTTGGGAATGCTAGGAAATATTATAATCAAAAAAGATCAGCAGCTAAAAAACAGCAGAAAACGATAGAATCGCAAGATAAAGCTTTAAAATCGGCGGAAAAGAAAACAAAGCAAACATTGAAAGAAGTGCAAGCTATTCATAGTATTAATAAACTAAGAAAAATATACTGGTTTGAAAAATTTTATTGGTTTATTAGTTCTGAAAATTATCTTGGTAAGTTAGTAACAGTATAAAATTTTTACAGTTATATCTTAGTAATTTTATAATTTTGTAGTAATTGGTGGAAGAGATCAACAACAAAACGAATTAATCGTAAAGAGATACCTTAAAGCTGGAGATATTTATGTTCATGCTGATTTAACTGGTGCTAGCTCTGTAGTTATTAAGAATCCTAGCGGTAATCCTATACCTCCAAAAACTTTGGCTGAAGCAGGCACAATGGCTGTTGCTTACAGGTATATAAACATTTATACCTTACCAACACGTTTTTTAATTATAAAAACATTACAATTGCGATATTAGTATTGCATGGGATGCTAAAGTAGTAGCAGGAGCATGGTGGGTAAATAATGATCAAGTATCAAAAACTGCTCCAACGGGTGAATACCTTACTACTGGATCCTTCATGATTCGTGGAAAGAAGAATTATCTACCACCATGTCAATTAGTTATGGGATTCGGATTTTTGTTCCGTTTAGAAGAAAGTTCGATTGAAAGACACAAAGATGAGAGAAGAGTCAGAGTTATAGATGATGAAAGTGAACATACAGATTCTGTTATTGAAGAGGATAGAGAAATTGAATTAATAGAGGATTCTGAAGAAGGTGAATCATTAATTATAAAAGTAAATAAAAGAGATATAAAGTAACAAAGAAATATTGCTATTATTAATTCGTATTTTATAATTTTACATTAAACAGATGAACAGGTTGAAAATAAGGATAATCTGCATCCTATTCAGGAAGAATCTAAAGCAGATTTAATCATGGAAGAAAACATTAATCAAGATACTAGCGATGAGGATGACAATCCATCTCAATTTCCCGATACACAAATTAAAATTGATGTTTCTGGTTCAAAGTAAGTAATAGAATGTATAAATTTTTTTTACATTAAGAGAAATAGATAATACATATATAAAACATTGAACAAAATTTATAGATGCGGAAGATGTAATTTATTTAGGGGATGATAAACCTATAGTGATAAATACTGCACCTAAAGAGAAGGGTTCCAAAGTTAAACCGAAGCCTCCTCCTACGAAGGAAAATAAAGAAAAGACTGAACTCGAAACTAAAAAAAATGATCAAGTAGTTTTGAAACGAGGACAAAAAGGAAGGTTAAAGAAAATGAAAGAAAAATATAAAGATCAAGATGAGGAAGATAGAAAATTATCTATGCAAGTTCTTCAAGTAGGCATCCTCTATTAATAATTAATATTTCTAGTATTGCAAAAATGAATAAAACAGTAATATAGTGATATTTAGTCAGCAGGTGCTGCAAAAGAAGACAAAAGGAAACATAAAAATAAAGATCCATCTGGACCAAAGCAACAAACAAAGAAAAAGGGTACAATAAAACCAGCTCCACCACAAAATTCTCAAATTGTAGATAACATTGACGAAGAAGACACGGGTCCAGGACCTGAAGTAGATATGCTAGATCAGTTAACAGGAAAGCCTGTTATAGAAGACGAATTATTATTTGCTGTACCGGTGATAGCACCCTATAATACTATATTAAATTATAAGTAAGCGAAAGTATTTATTTTTGTAAAGTTTATGTTATAATTGTTACATATCGTATTTATATAATGAATTGTCTTTTAGATTTAAGGTAAAGCTGACACCAGGTACAGGTAAAAGAGGAAAAGCAGCTAAGACTGCTGTGGCAGTATTTATGAAAGATAAGGAAATCACTTCAAGAGAAAAAGACTTATTAAAAGCCGTGAAAGAAGAAACAATAGCTAGAAATATTCCTGGAAAGGTTAAGATAAGTGCTCCACAAATACAAAAGATGAAAAAATAAATGACTTGAGTGCAGTTTGTAAACATTGTTAATAAACAAACATGTATTTGTATGTATATAAAGTGATTTACTTGTACAGAAGTTATATCGATAAACAATTTTTTTAATAGTAGTTCGTTTACTAAAAATTGAATATTTTTTTATTATTGTTAAAGTTCTATAGTGTACTCTGTATTGTTATATAAATATAAAAATAATACTGCATAACAGCCAGCACTCAGTATCATGTTACCAATTTTACACATTTTGTACAATTTATTATCATGCAAAAGTATCAAAATATATTGATTTTTCTCAGTAAAAGTTACGGGAAAGACAAAATGCACTTGCAAATAGTATTCTTTTTGCACAATGAACATATCAACAAACATTAGTTCTATAAATTTCGTATAAATACAGTAATGTACAAAATTCCATTAAATAAAATTTTTAATGCGTTTAAACGCATTTGAACGTAAATATTTACTTCACACTGATTATAATTACATGTTAAACATATCTTCGTCGGAAGCACTTTCGTGAGTTAACAATGTTTTTGGTTTAGTTCTTGGACTTTCAGATGTTATTTTTCGAACACTGATAGGTCGTGACCTGGTTCCTTTTGATATAATCTACATGCACATAAAATATAAATATATTTATATATATTTATAT